TTTCAGTGATGTTACCTGAAAGACTAAAGCTGTAATGCCTTAGGCTGTTCTGCATAGGAGATTCTGGTTAGAGCTCAGAAGACCAGAGGGCTGATAGAAATCTTATTGGTAAAATCCAGGTTCAGGAGGTTTCTGCTGGGAAAAAGGATTCCAGCCAGTGTGCATTATGGATTGGCAAAAAGTCTGTCTGCATTTTACTCATGTCCAGAAACTTTGTCTGAAACTAAGATTAAGGACATTTAATTAATTTATCTGGCAGAAGAAATTTCAAGGTGGTCAAATGTTGAGGCCGTGGTATGGCTATTGTTGGGGGCCTTTATCCGGATTAATGTTGCAAATCAAGAGCAAAGATCTCAGCAGGATTATTTAAAATGTGAGTTTGGTCAGAAAGGAAACTCCAGTAAAGTTATGGACCCCAAAGATAGAGCTGAGGAGATCTTAATTGCTGAGCAGGAACAGGAGAATATAAGAGATGGTCTGAGGGCCTCATGAGAAGCATCAAGTCTCCACTTGTTGCAACCTCAAAACTGCAAAACTGAAAGTCTTTGTGTTGAGGAGAAGGCTGTACAACATAGTGCCCCAGAATGGCAGCAACACATTATGTTCCAGAATGGGGGTGGTGGCCACATCAGGTTCCAAAATGGCAGCAGCTGCACCAGATTTAAGAATGGTAACAGACTAGAGAATTTGTACCTTGGAATTGGATTCAGAGTGCCCAGTGATTCAGGCACTTGACTCCTACAGCCAAGAGAGAAGAAAGCCTGGGTATTGCTCCAGCTGGCAGCGGACCTTGACATCACCCTTGTGGCATTGGTTTTAGGTACATGCAGAATGCAAGAGTTATGAGGTTAAAAAGGTTTCCATCTAGATTTCACAAGGCCTGGGAGCCAGGCAGTGTGCCTCTGAAAGGGCAGTGTGTGAAGCTGTGAAAGTGAAGCCAAAGTTACAGTAGAGACTCTAAAAGTTAGGAAAAGCCAGAAACATGGACCATCCAAGAAAAGCTGCAAGGATTGAGCAGAGCAGGCCTAAAAGAGAAGCCCTGGGAGCTACAATCACCAAAAGTGCCAGAGGGACAGAGTCATGCAAACCCTTTAAAACCCACATCTTTGTAGTCCCCTGTTTGTACCTTTTGGAATGCAATTGTTTATTGTGTGCCATTGTGTGATGGAAGTGTTTAACTTTCTTTTCTTTTGTGCAGGGGCTCACAGCTAAGAGTTTGCCTTACATTTTGGAGGAGACTTGGGTTTTAGACTTTTCAGCAATGCTGAAACTGTTAGGATGCTGGTAACTCTTAGAGATGGACTAAATGCCTTTTTGCATAAAGTATGTGTATTAGCCTTTGGGAGGCCTGGGTTGGAATGATACAATTTGCGTTCAGATGTCTTCTAAAGCCTCATGCCATAATGGGGGCAGGCTTATAGAGTTTGTGGTTGATTCATGGTCCAATGCTTGGGATTATGATTGTGAGTGCTACCCCTACACTATGGTGGGTAGCCCACATACAATGTAAGGGACAGAGTCTTCTCTCGTGCACTCCTCCCTTTTGGTCTTGCTGCTTTTGCTTTGTTCTAGCCACCATGAACTGTTACTCTTCTGCCACACCACTCTGCTTTGGATCCAGCTGATTATGGACTGAAACCTCTACAAACTATGAGCTAAATAAACCTTTTCTTGCTTAATTTTGGATGTCAAGTATTTTGTCTCAGCAATGAAAGAAAAGTAACCAAGACAGCAACCTCCACAGATATAGCTAACTTTATCTAAAGTTGTCAATGGATGCTAAGATTGATAGGTGAAAATTTCACTAGGAATTGGGTATTTTGACATGGTCTATGAATACATTTCTGTAAAGTATTAGTCACTTTCAAAGGAAAAATGGTAATTTAAGGTAGAGAAACCAAAAAGCCAAGTCACCTTTCTTGTGAGCTGGCACAATCCATGTGGGGTCTGGGAGGAGAAACAAACCAATTTGCCCTTCCTATGAATTGGTAGAAGTCATGCTGGGCCTGGGAGGAGAAACAAGAAGCCGAATTGCTCTGCCTGTAAACCAACTGGTGCTTGGGCTGGGAGACAAGAACTCCAGCTAATTTGGAGGACAGATTGAGTTGCTAGCAACTGAGGTACAAAAACAACCTAATGCTTTTATTTGATTGAATTTGCAGGCCTAAGGCTGGTAGTCTGAGCATCTGTTAAGGGTAGAGCAATATGCAATATAGCAAATATGGGGGATTTCTTTTTGTATTGATTTTGAAATGCAGTATTGTTCTTGCTATTTTGTTTTGTTCCATTTATTTTTATTCAGTGTTCTACTTTGATTGGTTTCATTTAGTTCTTTTTTTTTTATTTTGTTATGTCTAATGGTATAGGCAGCAATTTTGAAGATAACAAGAGGCATTATGGTAACCATTGTTGATTTCTTATTGTTCTGTTTTGAAGTCCTGTATCACTTTCACTGTTTTGCTTTGATTGGTTTTATTCTGTTTTATTTTGTTTGGTTTATTCTCTTTAAAATAAATTTAAAAAAATAAAGTAGAGAAATCTGGCAGACATCCTCTTGACCATAGGGCCAAGGTGGGATGGGTTGATAAGGTGCACCTTCCTATCAGATGTACTGGGACAGGCGGGGCAGTGTTTACATTTTCATTGTGCACTATGTGTCAGACACAGTGCTAAGTGCTCTGTAGGGATGATCACATTTAGTCTCCACCTCAGGCTTATGAGAGACGTAATACAATTTTTGTTCTACTTGTAACAAAACTTTTGAGGTTAAGACGATTAATTTGTTCAAGATCTGATTGCTGGTAAATAATGAGGTGGAGATTCACACTTGTGATCTACCTACATAGCCTTCTAGTTTGTAGGCTGATTTATCCTACCTGAGGACTGGAAAAAGACAAAAAAGAGGTTTACCATGGCGCTCTAGATCCCTCTTGGCTGGTTATATCAACTAATTCAATGTATTCCCCCTCTCTCTATCTCTCTCTCCCTCTCCCATTTCATTCCCTCTCCCTCTCTCCCTTTCCTTCTCTCTGCCAAACACACACACACACACACACACACACACACACACACACACACTTAGGAGTTGAAGACTTCAGAGGATTTGAGATAACTCCACTCCCTTGAGCCTCACTGGGGTGCCATACTTCTGAGAGGGTCCTGGAAACTTTGATGAGATGGAGGAAGGACCTTCAGGGATCCGGTTTCCAGGGGTCACAGTTCAACATAGGCAATGAAAAGAGTCTAGAGTCCCAAATCCTTGAACACGAGAAACTGCATTTTAGAAAGCTCTTTCCTGAAATTTCTTTCTTTTGGCTTGCTGTAATTTGCCACTTTTACAAGCTACTGAACCACATCACTGGTGTGAATAGTTTCGAAGCTTACATATTTCTTCTTGTAATCAGTTTAGTCAATCTTGTAACTATAAAGAGTGAGATGGTAAATCCTAAGCTCCCATTCTGAGTCAGAATTTATGACAAGAACAACGTGCTTATGCCCAAACAGAACCATGCACGTATGGTAATATGGCACTTGAAATTTATGTACTTCCGCTTATCCAAGGAACAGAAAGTGCTTCTATAAAATGAATTAAGAGCCAACTGTCTACAGCAGGCAATGAGAACATTTCAAAATAGGGCTTCTGAGGGAATCAGTTATTCTTTGTGAGGCCAGGGTTCATACTAAACAGCCATGTGTCCCAATGTTTTACAGAAGTGGTTCCAGGAGACCACTGCCACTTTAACCCTTGCTCAACAGTGATGAATATAACTGCATTTTTGCCCACAAGTTGTGTAATTGAAGACATTCCCTTATCACTGCTCTTTAGTGCTGGATGCCACACATCATTAGGCCCTGGCATTAGAAAAGAGATTGTCCACAGAGTGCATCCCGTCATTCCTTTTATTGACTAACTGGTCAGCTCTTCTTCTTAGTAAAGACAATTCCTAACAATTCTCTTTGCCAGGCTTTAAAACTCTGGCCTTGTAGATAATCCCACTATCATTCACAGCCCCATGAAATAGTATGGCTTCTATATACTGCATAGTTTTAAATGGCCATGCTTCAATAGGTCTTTGTATTAGCTACCTACTGCTGTGTAACAAATTATCCAAAAACGGTGTGACTTAAAAACTACACTGATTATCTTTAAATTTCTGTAGGTCAGGAGTCCTGGCATGGCTCAAATGGTGCTTCTGCTTCAGAGTCTCTTACAATGTGTCACCTGCAACTGTGGTCACCTCATGGCTTGACTAGGGAGATTTTCACTCTTAAGGCTTTTTGCAACATTTGGTTCCTCTTGGACTGTTGGGGTAGAAGTCTCATTTTCTCTCAAGCTGTTGAGTGGAAGTCAATCACTTACCACTTGTGCATCTCACAGGCCAGAGGGCAAGACAGAGCATGAACCAGACAGAAACCAGGCTTTTGTAACAGTCACAGAAGTGACTTCCCACCTTCTACTCACTGGTTATAGTTAAGGGGAGGATTACACAGAGGACAAAAAGCTAGCCACTGGGAGACATTTTTGAAGTCTTTTTCATACACTGTCTCACTTTATCCTTGTAACAATTCTGCAATGCAGTCTTGGTCTTTCCATTTCACAGATGGGAAAACGGATTCTCTGATTCTTGTGCTTACACCTATAAACGCTGAAGTTCTAATTTAGGAATCCCGTGTTTATTCATTTATATGTTTATCTCAAAGATATATGAAAGAAACAAAATACCAGGTGTACTATAAATTTTTATTCTTGGTAAAATATGGGTGTATGAAAACATCCTAGTAGTTCTTAATGAGTGGTCTGAGATGAGAAACCGCACTGATTTATTGTGTTATACCAACAGTAGATACACTATAAAAATTATATACCTTATGTCATTATAAGAATATAAGAATTTGCATTAGAATTATTGCTTAATCTACTTTTATAATTTTCGGTGATATGCTTGGGAACATTCTCCTGGGATTTGAATGTCTAAGATCTAATCACTTTCATTTTGCAGATGAAGAAACACAGATGAATTGTGGTTATGATATAAACAATGCCCCAGAAACTGAAATAGAGTACTTTATTCCAGTCCTATTTATAACTCAGCCTCTATGAACAGATACATGGGAACGGCTGGCATGTAACTCGAGGCAGCTCCACATCAAACCCACATCAGCTGCCTGCCACAGACATCAGCAAGACTCGTCAGTATGCTGCTCTTGAGGTTATGCAAAATTTACAGAAATAAAGTGGAAATTGAAAACCTGCACATATATAAAAGATGAATTAAAAATTTATTTGTGTTTCTTTTTTGACTCAGGGGAGAATACATTGTGCCAAGTATTGTGCAAAGGACTTCTGATAAAAGTACACAACATTACTCACTTAACCTCCTTACAGCTGCTTCTAAAAGTAAAGCCAGGGGTGGGGGCTGCAGCTGATTCCAGGGGGCTCCATTTTCTTTGCTGAGATGGCTCTGGAGTCCTGAGTCCTTGCTGGCCAGTCAGGAAGAGACCCATGTGAAGCTCTTTTTGCTGACACAGGAAAGCTCGAGTTTAGTGGAGCCAGAGTGGAAGCACTTTCTCACTCACAGAATCAGAGCTGAGCAAACATGCTTGTACTTTACAGCTGGCACTGGGTCCCAGCAGCTTCTGCAGCCACAGAGCCAGTTAACCTCAAGTTGAAAATACTAAAAACAAACAAAGGAATAAAAAGTGGGTGCCGAGTGTGCTAAACTTTCCCTTTTACCATTACATAGCATTTACATTGTATTAGGCAATCTAGAGATGACATAAAGTATATGGGAGCATGTTCAATAGTTACATGCACATATACCAGTTTATATGGGGTATTGGAACATTGGTGGGATTTCAGTGTCTGTCGATAGTGCCGGAAGCAATTTCTCCATAGAGGGATGATCGTGATGCACTACTTTCTTTTTGGTTTCAAGGCTTCTAATCAGGCTCTTGCTCGTGCTAATGGTGTGCCTCACCACTCCTTCAATCCCTGACCCCCCTTTAAGACAATCGAAGATAGTCTGTGGCATTGAAAGTTATATAGAATGTTTCTTCACTAAAGGAAAGGCAGGTGTTCTTCTGGGGCCATCGCCTAGCAGAGCAAAGCAACCTAGACAAGGGATGTGGTGTCTCTGATCTATGGGAGCACACAGAGGCCAAAAGGAAAGACAAGTCCACCTGCATAAAACCCAAGAGCAGAGGTCTGGAGAAACAATAAAGGTTGTTTGATGCCCACAGGGCAACTTGGAAGCAAAGTTATTCCAATCAGGAGAACTTTTGCTGATAATTATTGGACCACAATCTAAGATGTGCAAAGGCAGAAATAGAAATGGCTGAATATAGGAGCCCTGACTTACTATCTTGAAATATGAGCACATTTTGGTTGGTTTTCAGTCTTTTCTAGCATGATTTGATGACCCCCTTTCCTTTCCACCTGCCTCTCCTGAGGTTGTGCTAAAATACTCCATAGAAACAGAACCTTCATGCAGCAGCCTCCTGTAGCAGCAGAGCAGGTACGAGGTAGCTGCTGTCCCTTCTAGTTTACTTTTTTTTTCCCTCCAAATACCCAGATTTCTAAGTGGTGAGAAAACACAAACCCTAAAAACCTCATTAGAATTTTGGATTAAAGACAGCTATCTGTCTTGTCTCATTTTTGATACACCAGCTGATAATTGGGCTATAGTTAGGTCTAAAAATAACATACAGTACATTAAAATAATGTTCCTTGGCTACATTTCCAAAGTGGTATTCTGGGACTTCTGTGCATTAATCCTGTAACAATAACAGGATTTGCGCTTTTAACTCCCTTGGTGTAGCTTTGAAAATCTAGCCTAAAGCAGCTAATGTTGCCATTTAAATCCTCTCACTATCCACAGGGAAATGCAGAGATTAAAAAAATGACAACCCAACTGCTCAAATGACCTATACCTGCGAGAATCAGAGAAATAACCTATTTCCTCTCAGGAACTGGGCTGATCAATATAAATATTTCAAAATGGGCTATCATGGCAAAAAAAAAAAAAAAAAAAAAGCCCTGGAATTTGTATCCTACTTCAGAACACGCTAGATATTTTCAGTGTGGACAGATGAGGTTTCCCACAGGAGAGAGGGGCATTGTAGCTGCTGAATAACCACAGCTGAGCTGGACTGCATGTGTGAACCTGTGTGTGTGTGTGTGTGTGTGTGTGTGTGTGTGTGTGTATGTGGGGTGGGTGTATGCATATGTAGGGAGTGACGAGGAAGGAGGCTGTCATTATTGTGTACGTTTCTGGTAAAGATTCTCTTTCCCTGTCGAAACTTGGGCGTCTCCCAGAGATTAGGTACTGTTAATTGTGTCACTTAAAACACTGCGTAGCTTAAAATTTGCACACAGCTTTAAAGGGAAGCTCTAAATAGCCCTAAATTGAAGTGGCGGGAGTTTTTCAATGATATCATTAATTGTGTTTCATTAATTGAGAAAAAGAGCTTTGTTCAGCCACGGCTGTGATGGGCTAGATTTAATCAGCGTAGGTACCACTAACAGGCTGGCACTGCTTTTGGCCTGCAATGCCTTTGAAATTCTAAAACGGAAAAGGAGGCCAACACATAGCAATTATTTCGGAACAGATTGCCCGTTAACATTTCATAATATCACTGAAATGCATCCTTTCTGGGACAGCCTTGCTCTGGCTGTAATAGTCCGAGAGGTGGCAGCACTACTGCTCTGCTGGCGCCTGTGTCCCTCCAGCCAGCTCCCGCAAGTCTGGCATTGCGTCACCTGGAGGCCTGTGCGCAGGGCGAGGTGGGGGAGGGGAGCCAGGGAAGCCAGCCTTCTGCATCCCGCTTCTTCTGGAGAGTTCAGGAAACAGCTGCACGGATTGTTTTAAATGGATTGGAAAAGGGTTTTCTTTCTCCCCACCATGAAATCTACTGTCTTCTGTGACATCTTTCTTAAGACCACATGGGGACACTTACGTGTTCCGTGGTTTGCTCCCTGAGGGAAGAAGGAAGAGTTGTGACTGCCAGAGATCCCCTGAGACCTCATTTTCAAGTCCCTGTACTTGTCTTTTGTAAACACAGGAAGGTGGGATTAAGATGGTATTACTGGCAATTATTTTTTGAGCATGTTTGTGTGCAAGGCGCTTAACACAGCCCCGAGAAAGTGACATAGTCTCTACTGAGGACCGCTTTCTTTTCTCTGCAGTCATCCTCGGTGCCACCCTCCTCCAACACCAATCTCATGCTAAAAATATTCCACAGAACAAATAGCTGTTGAGACAGAATCAAAGTCTGTGCAGATAAGGGACAATATAGCCTGCCGTGCTAAGTGTCAAATGCATGAAGTGAAAAGCCTCTGGTGACTTATGAGGGAGTGTCAGGGCTGGTCTAGAGAGCCCAGCATCCAGGCCTCGGAGGAGCCGGGGCCTCTGTGTGCAAGGTGGTCTGAGAACAAGAGTGAGCACCCACTAAAGCAGCCTTGCTGAGGAGGTTAACTGGCGGGATGCAGAGACAGGAGGACTCTCACGGGAAACTAACGTCCAGGAGGTCACAGGGCACTGGACGTAGGCTCAGGAGTGGATTAGGGTCCAGTGCATCTCAGCCTGGGATCATTCTGTTTCTGTCATATCCAACATAGGGTCTTGGTCACTGTGTCCACCACTTGTCACCAGTTTGGACTGTCTTCGACTCTGTGTACCTTTCATTAGCTTATTTCTTCAGCTTAGTCTTCACTTGGATGCTCTGTCTCACAGCTTTCATGTGTGGCACGTGAGCTCTGTATACATCTTTTCTGCTTCTGATCTCACCAACAACTCAACGATTATGATCTCTGGTCAGAGAGAGGAAGAGGAGAGTGGGAAGAAGAAAAGGAGCCTCCTCAGCTGGGTTACCACGCCATTCATTCTGTCTGGCGGAAACTTTAAGACCTGCACCCTTTGGGAAACAAGCCAGTCTGTGATTGGCTGCCTTCACATCATCTTCCGTAAAGACCCACCCTTCTTTTCTGGAGGGTTGTGGATGTGGTAGGCACTGATTCTGATATTTTTTCTGAGCAGCAGTGCTCTCTCAGGCTTAGAGATGCTGGAAGTCCCAGTGTCCAGGTATCTGCTACCTTGATGAGTTGCTCAGACTCTAGTGAGAGATGAACACTCAACCTCTCTTATTTGTAGGAATTCAGTCATGTAGCTTGGAGAACACATTTAAAGGTGATAATTTATGCCCAACCCTCAAAGATTCCAGAAACTCAAAGGAAATCTTACAGGACCTTTTTTGCATGATGATGTCATGTAATTTTGTATAGTATAGGTTTGTCTGGGCTGATGGAAGAGTGCTCCTGGATTAGAGTCACATCTTCTTATAACTAAATCTCCATTTCTTGCAATGTCTAACACAGTGCTATCCAGTGGATCCCTTATCCATGGCTTCACTTCCATATGGTCAAGCATGGTCAGAAGATATTAGACAATTCTGGAAATAGATGTAGATTTTAAACTGCACACCACTCTGAGGAGTTTAATCAAATCCTGTGTCATCTCACTTTATTGTGTCTGGGACATGAATCACTCCCTTATCTAGGCTACATACCCTATCTATCCTGTTCACTGAGTAGCCCTTTCAGCTAATAGGCGTATTAATGCTGGTTTATAGGGCCTGGGGTGAATGCTGGCTTCAGGCATCCAATGAGGGACTTGGAATATATCCTTCTCAGATAAAGGAGAACCACTGTACAAGAAGTAGGCATTTGGTGAGTGTCTGAAAAGTTGATTTGACTAATCTTGATTGCACATTCAGCTCAGGAGATTTCTCATTAAATTCCAAGTAAATTAGTTCTTTTCCAGTCATCTGTTGGAATCCTGAGGTATGGATTCATTTGATCAGTTTTCCAACTTTAATCTTCTCTTGCCCATTTCAGGAAGCATAACATCTTAGACACTGATTTTTCAGGAATTCAATGTCCTTGGCTTCTCATAGGATTCAAAATGTCCAGGTCAGCCTTTGATTTCATGCTCTTTACTTTTTTTCCTGGTTACCCTTTTGCACTAACACATTCTCTTCTATTAGGATGGGCAAAATTATGCTGTGGTATCATCAGCTTCCGAAGTGCGGTGGAAATCCCACTTGGCAGAGTGGCTCTGGGACTCAATCACCAGGCAGTCTGTCACTCAGCATCAATCTATAGACAGTCTGTCACTCAGCGTGTGCCCGTGTGGGATGGGGGGAGGGCACGGCTGATCGTGCGCTAGCTCTTGACTAAGTCTTCCTTCCACTCAGGAGAAACACACATCATATCTGATCCTTCATTA